CTTCTTGCATAGATCTAAGTTTTTGCGATACTGGAACCACTCCTCTGTCTCAGTGACAAATACTAGATAGCCTATATGATAGCAATCACTACCCCATTTTAATCTCAAGTCATATCCCCAAAAATGCGGAAGTCATAAATAAATGGAAAATTGGAAACTTTAAAACCAAATAATTTTCAAGAAAAACAAAGATGCTGCCGTAGACGGGACGGGACGTTTTTACTATTAAAGTCCTAAAAGACGTAAGTTTAAAATTTAGAGTATATAATTTTGTATTAAATGTTTTCTTATGTATTTTAGTGTGTTGCAGTAATCTTAACACTAAGTGTATTTACTGTTAATATAACAGTTTGACAAATAGTTGACATTTTAAAAATTCCTTACTTACTAACTATTCTGATGTTTTGGCATCTCTGTGGGGTTCTGACGACGTAAATCTTGAATGACGTGCAAGCTTTTTTCTATGAAAAATGATATATATATATATATATATATATATATATATATATATATATATATATATATATCTATATATATATATATACATATATATATATATATATATATATATATATATATATATATATATATATATATATATATATATATAATAGTTTACTATTATTTATGTCAATGTAGTACAACAAGTGTTATCATTTTAATTTTTTTTTGAGTAATTTGATAAACCAAGATAAGAGAGCTATGCTTTTCTTCCTAGTTGACTCTCTGAGTAAAATATCCGGTTTTTAGAGCTTTTCCGCGCTGTCCTGTTTAAAAGGTTTCTTACCAAAATCACATCAAGGAGTATCAATACATATCAGAAACAAAGAAAAACCTGAACACCATCGGAGTAACATCATCATCATCATCATCATTCAGCCTTCATTTATCACATTCACTGCTGAAAATAGGCCTACCTTAAACTTTTCCATTCTTTGAAAGAATCATCACCACCAGCACAAAAAAGAACCATCGGAGTATACGGCCCAGAAAATAACAAGCCAAAAACAACAACGGAAACGTTTATGATGAATTATAACAAGTAATAGTTCAAGTCAGAGGAAAATGATAATATTGGGGGATTTTAATGCTTGAAGTAATACCGGAAATTAAGATTAACAATACATTTTTTGACCATAAAGACCAACATAGATATACATTCAAAAACATCCGTAGAGAAAGATCTATGATAGATTATGTTATAATCAACACAGATATAAATCCATAAAAAATAATCAACGTAAGATGCCTTAGCTTAGCAGAGGTAGGTAGCGACCATAGCCTAGTATTACGTAAAATGAGAATTATTACGAAATACTTTACAACAAAGATATCGGTGTCAACAAAAACAAAAATCGGAGTCAAAGGGCTAAATATGGAATCCACGGAATACTTATACAGAAAAAAAGGATCAGAGGAGATTGCTCGGGATGAAATCTAAGAAAAAGATAACATCCAGGAAATCTGAGAAATACTTAAAAATATCAAAATTTACGCAGCAAAAGAATCACTTGGAGAGAGAAAAGTAACGAACACTAACATATCAAAAAAGAAAACCCTATGGGTTAGAAAGAAAGTAAAAACAAAATGTAAAGAAAAGAAGAAAGTCTTTCTACAATACAGAACACAAAATACTTAACAGGTATACAACCACTTTTTAAACAGCATTGAGAAATTAACTAAAACATTTTAATTAGAACAAATAAAAAGTGGAAGCAGCAAGCAGAACATCGTCAAAACGGGGGATAGATCGCGCTGGGGGGGTCGTAGCGGAAGATAATAACGTAGAGGGCGGATAGGTTCGACTAATTAATGTCAACATGAGGGACAGAATGTGTAGGGAAGGAGCAAGGTAGGAATTCACAGGGCAGCGGGGGGGGAACGTCGAGCTATCGGCTGGAGAATCAGCGCAGGTAAGTAGGGTAGCAACAGTGGTTGGCATGAGCGTGAGATTGTTCGGAGAGGACGCATTGAAAGGGAAGGTGGAGGAACACCGAAGTTGGCTAGACAGACACGGAAAGGAAAATAGTAGTAGAAGTGGTGATATAAGAAGATATGTGCGGGGATGAACATAAGTGGAGGGATGAGGTGGAGTAAGAAAGAGAGAGGGGGAGAGGGGGGGGGCGCGGGGCGGGACACATGAGATCATATGGGGGGGAGGGGGGGGGGAGGGGGGGGGGGGGGGGTACGGAAGGTATTTCGCTGGGCAGAATGGTACGGGGTGTTGACCTAGAGGACAAACTAATATTAAAACTAATTCAAAATAGATAGAACAAAAAGAATTCCTTAAGATGAAATCATGCATCCTAAAAACTCTCTTTAAAAATGAAGACTCAATGGACACACAAAAATATACACGTTATTAATTGATTAACACACAAGCGCTCTCTTAACAATCAGTAGTGTTATCATATCTAAGAAAGTAATGGTGATACGATCTGGGGGAGAGAGAACTACTAACAGGTTTATGAGAGAAGATGCTGGATTAGAGGTGAGGAAGTTTAAATATAGTTGGTATCACATTTTTTTAGCTACCGGATACTCGAAACAGAAGTGAAAATATATCTCTATCTCAGGGGTTGGTAGTGTTAGAGTGGAGGTGGTAGTGTTGTTTGGGGGGGGGCGGGGAGTTTGGATTTGTTTTTGAGGGTATAAATTTATCGGAAGTGATATATATCATAATTGAGAAGCGGAATTGGCAACTGATACCATTAATGACAGTAAGGGATTCTCTCTTATGTAGATTTGAGATATTCATATAATATAATATCATACGGACGACGTGATGAGTTGAACACAATTATAGGTAGGGTTATTAATGGTAGTGGTTTTGGGGGGTTATGATGAGGAGGGGGGGGGGTCAGGGTGGGTTAGTTTATGTGTGGTGTATGTAGGGGAGGGGGTGTAAGGGAGGAGAAGATTGTTTTGTATTGATGTGTTAAATAGAAGTATTAAATGTATTAAAGAGGGGGAGGGGGGGGGGTATATGAGGTGTTTTTATGTATGAGGTAAGGTCAGTATGGTGGGAGCGTTAGTTCTTGTTTGTTTTTGTTAGAGTTGATCGGGTATAGTGTGTGCGATTTTTTATGTATGGGGGAATGATTGGTGAGGGGATGGAGAATTGTGTAAAGTGTGGACGGTTTTGTGTGTGTATAGTAAGGGGAATGATGTCATCGTCGCAGGTGTGAGGTGATGGAGGTATGTATAAAAGTACGGAACCGATCAGGGGGTACGATGGGGCATAGCTTTTTTAATGTCCAGTACCCACCGATTCCATTCTGGTTCTGTCTCACTGCCTTGTATGGCAAGTTCCGCGAGTGGTGTTGTTGTTTAAATATTTAGCCGCCCTCATGTTCCGATATTTTTTGCTTCATAAACTTTTTTTGTTATTCTATTGGATTGCATCCAGTGCGTCAGATGCCCATATCAGTTCATTTGTCTCTTTGCTATTTTGTTCATTATCGGTTCCTGGTTGGCCATTCTCCTAATAGTCTCGTTGCTTAATCTATCCCATTTTGTCTTTCCAACTATCCTTCTTAGATGTCTCATCTCCATTGCGTTTATCCTGCTCTTATGTTTTTCCAGAATTGTCCAGTTTTCACTTGCATAGAGCACAGTGTTATATATTTTTATTCTTGTTTCTCGTGTAAGTTCTCTTTTTCCCATTATTGGGGCTAACGCATAGTATAAGTTGTTTGATTTATTTGCTCTATTTGTTATTTCCCAGTCTATTTTTCCATCATTAGTTATATACTTCCCAGGTATTTGTAAGTTGATAGTATTTCCAATTCTGAGTTTTTACATTTTATCTTTATTTGATTATCTTCCTGATCTCCATTGCCGCTGATTATCATTATCTTACTTTTTTTCTCGTTCATCTCCATTTTTAGTTCTTCTATTTGTTCTACCCATATATCCTTTAGTTTCTGCATTTTATTCTCGGAATCTGCTATTAGTACTATGTCGTCTGCATACATTAAGGACTGTATTGTTACCGGTTGTAATCTGTGGTAACCTAATATTGTCTGTAGTTGATTGGTTCTGATTCTAGTGTTTCTTAACAATTCGTTTATTACTATTATGTATAGCAAAGGGCTGACACTATCTCCATGTTTAATACCTCTCTTCCAATTAAATGCTTCCGATCTTTCCCCTGTTATTTGTACCCTTCCTTTTACCTCTTTGTAAGTACTTTCTATAATTTTTATCAATACATTAGGTACATTTATTTTTCTCAAGCATTTCCCTATAATATGTCTTTCTATCGTGTCAAATCCTTATGTAAAACTTTTAGTTTTTGTACTTCTCGAGATGTTTCTTGATTGAGTTGTTTTAATAAGACAAAAGAGCATCTGTTGATAAGACGGAGTTTCTTGATTTCGTTGTTTATATTATTTTGTATAGATGAGAAAACCAATATAAACAAATGTTTACTCAAATACCAGTTTTTTCTAAAAAATTAAGTTTATTTGAGACGAGTTATATTATCAAATCATAGAGATACAATCAGTAGAAGGATTATCTAATCTCCGTTAATAATAGCCTATCTGATATATTGCCCAATATAAGGTCCTGTCTATAAATTATTTCGTTTCATTTATTTTAATACACGTTTTAAATATTTTTCATGAAAATAATACCATCTGAAATATAGAAAACTGAGACGTCACCATTTTTAATTTAAATATAAAATACTTATTAAAGTATAATATTGATTTATTTTAATCTATGTCTTTTGACAACATTCTGATTATAAAACTTTAAAATAAATAAATTACTTTTTTCATTCATGTTATATGATTCCCATAAAATGTTCTTCTAAACCTCGTTATAAAATTATTTTATTATGTGAAAAAGTAAAACCAAAATGTTATTAACGGTTCGCTTTTCTAATAAAAAACAGGTGATTTTTAGATTTAGATTTGATCACCAATTTAAAAGCCATTATTCTCATAAAAAGATTCAGCTTTATTTTTTTTTTCTAATAGAAGTCATTTTAGGTATTGTCCATGGCGATGACCTAATCTACCTGTTTTATATTCAAAAATTTTTTCCGCTGTTTACTGAAAGTTCTCCACAAGAAATTGAAATGGTGTCAAAATTGACGGCTTTATACGCAAATTTTGCCAAGACTGGGTAAGTTTGGTTTATATTTTCATTGTAAAAAATATATAAAAAGAGATAAGAATAATTTTTGAAAGTGTAAATGACAAAGACGTACTTGATGCGAGATATGCGTAGCGTTCCCTTAGTTTTATTTAAAAAACGAATAAATCATATTTTTAATATCGACTCGGGTACAGTGATATTAATATTAGGTATAAACCTCCCACAAACCTTTCTAGTACAGTGAATTAAGGTAAAAATCAACTATTACCTCCGATTTCGGTGAACCACCATCGATTTGCATGAAAATTTGGAATTAAACATATTTTACCTTCAACTTCAAAAGTAACATATGCTCAACTTGCGCTTTTTGCATTTTAGGGGTGAAATCCACCCCTTTTTTTTAAATGATAAAAAATGCAGATTTAAGCATTTTGGCATAAGTAAGCTCGATTAATTAAATAAAATAAATATTTTGCGACATTTGTAAACATGATTTATAATTTTATTTATTTTTTCAACCCTTTTAGCAACTATTCCTTAAATCGAAAATTATGAAAAAATCATTTTTTATATTTCTGAAATATCAAATCGCATATTAATATTACCCAGATTGTTTTTTTAATGTTTATAATACAATTTTTAATTGAATTCAATTTGAAAATTTCAACCCTTAAAAACCCCTCCCTTAACTTAAAAAAAATAATTTCAAGAAACTTTAATTATTGGAATAATACAATACTGAATTGAAATCTCATTTACTGAGTATTAAATTATTTATTTATTTATTGCGTAATTTTGCACCCTTAAAAACTACCCCTTGTCATAAAAATAATGGAGAATGTTTTTTTGTTAGCCTTAATAGCTTTAATCATGTAGAAACTTTTTATGGGTTATGATATACTTTATTAATATATTCCAAACTTTATTAATATTATACTTTCCACATTTCCTGCACATGTTTTTCAATGCTTATGTAACTTATAAAAATTTAAGTTGTTAGTTAAGAGGAAAACGTATTAAAATAAATATGAAAATATATGAACAGTTCATTTACTTTTTATTTAAGTAATGTTTCATAAATTAATTAAATATTAATAGTACTTTAATTATTAATTTTTCACTCTTCATCAGAGCTCTCTTCACCAATTTCTCCTTTTTCAATAATTGGATGGCTTTTTGGCAATTGTTCCCACTGCATAATCCGCAGACTGCATTGCAAAATATCCCTGCTCTTCGACACCCGCAAGAAGCGCCACACCCGTTTTCGCAGTTGCTAAAAATCATTTTTAACAATTCTTCTGGAGCAGGTGAATTGGGATTTTTGGTTGAAAACAAAGACTCTTCAATCTTGCACCATCCGCAGTACACCGGACGAATGTCTTTGTTTCCAAGTCATATCTGGGTTTGTAATTAAACTCTTTTGATGTGTTCATCCAATGCAGCAACTGTTAGGACCTGAGATAGAAACTTTACTGCACTATTTTTGGTGGTAGCGGTAATAAAGGACTAGCTTCACTAGCTTCTTCTATCTTCAAAATATACATACACACATCCATACATGTATATTTCATGGGCATATACCTATCGACACGTCGACTTCTTATTACCTATCTTTTTTCCTATATGTCGAATTCCACAGAAAATTGTCCTTTTTTTGATGCCAAAAAAACGCTTTTTAAATTTAAAGGCACACTCAGACCAATTTTTTTCGTTCCTTATAGCTTAAAAGTAAAGAAAAAAAGAATGCTGTCCGCCGGACGGAGGATACCCATCGCTTTTTAACCGATTTTTTAAAATATACTAATGGAAATTTTACCGTATTTTCCAGAAATACTTAAAATAGCTGCGGTATCGCTTCTATAGCACCTATAGGACTCTTTAAAAATTAAAATAAAGGTCTTTTCTTGTAATTTCAAGAAAAAACATTAGTTTTAGTCTAGGTAATAAGTTTATAAATTTTAAAACAGGTCACAGGTATTTTATTCACAAATTTAGATTTTTTACGTACAAGTTACACTTTTTGGTATTTACCTAATAGCAGATGACTACTTGAAAAAGTCTGTATTTTAATTTTAAGTAATAAAAGTCGAGATAATAATCTTTATCCAACATTTTTGGACAGATGCAAAGTTTCAAAACAGTAATTTCAATGTAAGTAGTCGTAATTTGGAAAAAATATCTAAAAACAAAACAAATACAATAAACTGTAATATATCACTTTTAAGCTATAAGGAACAAAAAAAAATTGGTCTGAGGAGTGTGCCTTCAAATTTGAAAAAGGAAAGAAAAATTTTGCATCAAAAAAGGACGATTTTCTGTGGAATTATATATATATATATATATATATATATTATATATATATATATATATATATATATATATGTATATATATATATAGGTACAAAGTCTCTACTCCAAAAATTCTTCTTAAAAAATGTTACTTTTTTTTTTACAATAACTCCGTTAATTTTTATAATATCAGGTTCATTCAAAAACCATTTGAAATTTCAAGGGCTATAAAGTCGTATTAAATTTAATCTTTTAAATTTATTATTTTTTAAAAGATAAAAAGTTAAAGGGTCCAGGCTACATGGTTCTCGCAGTAAAATTTAGGTTTTAAACGTTTTTATCTCAGTTATTTTTTTATCCTACAAAAATATAAAAAAAGAAAATCTTTGTTAAAAAAAACCTCAAATTTTTTTTTGTATCAATTTTTAAATATATTGAGTATATGTAGAGTTATTCTCAAAAGAAAATAAAGTTAAATAAAATTTAAAAAATTCTGATTTTTGTAAATCTAATTTTTTTTTAATATGCATTCTAAACCGGCCAAAATTTGTGAGGTCATTACTTATGCTAAAATAAAGAAAGCTTTATAAGGATTACTATAAATTTTAATTTTTGTGGAAATGGCGTATGTTTTATTTTTCACTTTTTTTAAAAAAATTCGAAAGGGTCCTATTATTTTCATCATAACTTGCTTAATTTTGTTGTTATAAACTTTTTCTAGAGCTCATTTTATAGGTATTTATGAGTACTTAAAAAATTGTTTTATAAGTATATTTTATAAAATACATGAATATTCAGATTTGAGTACTCACAAAAAAAAATACATTTAATTACTTATAACTTACTTTAAATTATCATTAAAAGGTTTCTCAAGCACGGAATTGATTCAATTTTGTATTAGTTTTAATTTTGTCAATTACAACATTTTTATAAAAACTTATAGTTTTTGAGTTATTTATGAAAAACCGCTTTAAAACATGCATTTTTTTTTTCACGACAAATCAAAATGTTTGATCTTTAATAACTCAAAAAGTATTGATTTATTTTAATAACTTTATAAGATAAATTTTGTTTAGCTTTGGTCCCTCTATCGATTCCTGGGGTTATTTTTAATAAAATAATTTCTACCTCTGAGAAGAGGTGGCATCCACCCACAGTGTAAAAGCGAAAGTTGACACCATATCACTTTTGTTTCCTAAGGTATCATCTAACTACTCACCAACTTTCATAAAAATCGATGAAGGTTCAACAAAATCGGAGTAAAAACCTTCAGTCACTGTATTATTACCATTATTATTTATTTTAGTGCAAGTTTATAGAATCTAACATAACTGGTCAAGCGTAATCGACGAAAAATGGATAACATGATTTATTTAATTATAACAAATTATCTTGATAAGAGATAAAAACTTTTTTTTTATTTTCTAGTATCGTAATTATGGCTTTACCTTTACATGGGTCCTAGCCTCCTCAAATATTTCCCTTCAGCCGTCCTATCCATCGCCTTCCTCCGCCAAGTACATATTCCCATATTTCTCATGTCTTCACCGATGTTATTAAGGAACCTTATTCTGGGTCTTCCTCTTCTTCTCTGACCAATGGGTCTATCAAGGAACATTTTTCTAGCAGGGTCACTTTGTTCCATCTGCAATGCATGTCCTATCCACCTCAGACGTTCTATCTTAATGTTTTACGATTACGATTTTATTTTCTAGTATTTGTTTAAAAAAAACTATTACTTAATAATGTATATTTTTCTGATATCAGGCACGAATCAGTTATTCTATTTTTACAGGAACGAATTAAAGTTCTGGAATTAATTGAAATCACCAAACCTAATTGACCGTGTTATTGACACGAACCCGGTAAATAATTACTTAAAGCGTTGGGACCTGTGGCTTGCTTTTGACTGATCCATTGAAAAATCCATTGTTGAATGTAGCGATAAACATATTGCCAACGCAAATAACACAGTAGAAGAAACTTAAATAGAGATACAAATGTCGTAAAATATAAACGTAATATAAAAATAACATGGTATTAAACATAATGACAATAGTTTTTGAATTAATCATCTACCCTAGCAGTACAAATCTTCAGATGTCAATGTTATATTCTGATTCAAATTTTAAGTCAAATTCATGTTGGTTGGTAGAAAATGTAGTAAGTGGGTTAGACGTTTCAGTGTTAGTGTTTTGTCTCTAAGCTAGTGTTTCCAGAGAGCGAGCCATTGCGGTTAGTTTACGGTCGCCCCTTTGTTCTGTCTTCTTGGATGACCATTGTTTATATTAGGATCTTCTCTATCTCCAAAAAGCAATTAGTCAGATGACAACAATTCAAGTAGGAGCTCCAGTAACCAATAGTGACTGCCAGTGTGTCCGAAGGATTGTCATTGTGTGCTATTTATCTCTCCTAAAGTCGCTTTGTCTATGAAGATATGACTGAGTTCATCACCTTGTATGTTTATTCGACCACCTGGAATTTTATTTGCTTATGACTGGGTCTCTGCACCATTTCAGTGGAGGGGTGATGGAGCTTTTAGGTTAACAGCAACAGCCGTTTCCACTCCTTCGCTAGTTGTATTACTCTATTACTCTACACTATCCCCTTAGTAACCTTCTGCTCGATGAGTTGATATTACCCTTATGGTTATATCAATATGGTCGAAACATATTTAGTTTGCTTACATTCATAAAAAAAATCTACTTCAGGCACTAAATTTATTTGTTGTTCATGTG